TTACTCAACACATAAAAAGGAAAATTAATATGGTTAGCCAATGAAACTATGATTTGTAAACTCCAAACAAAGGAACCAAATACCATGAGGTGTTTGGTTGTACATTAGCAGGCTCAGCAACTATTCTTTGTGTGTGTGTGTGTGTTTACACACACACACACTTATATATATATATATATACATCACATCTTTTGCCAATTCAACTTTTTTATAGGTAAATAACTATGAACATCAATATAATAATCAGATCTTCAAACTAATCTTTTATCAGTGGGATAGTTCCGTTAGTGTTTAACTCTTTTCTCTCTTCCTTGCACCCATGGTAACTACTACTAATCATTGGCCTGTGTACATTTGTCTCTTTTTTTTTTTTTTTGTCTTTTTATAGTTTGTCCTTATATTGGTCCTTTTGTGATTATTTCATTCAACAACAATCACAACAGCAACACAATATTGCTAAGTGCCATCAAAGTAGTTCCAACTCAAAGTGACCCTGAATAGGGTTTCCAAGGAGTGGCTGGTGAGCCTGAGCCACCAGCATCGCGGTTCAAATCAACCTTGCAGTCCAACACATTAACCCATAGTACCACACCAGCTCTCCATATTGTAGTATGTATCAAAACTTCATTTCAACTAGTCGCTGAGTAGTTATTACACTATATGTGTGTACAACATTTTGTTTGTCCATTTTTTATTGATAAACATTTAGGTTGTTTACACTTTTTTGCTATTATTAATGTGCTGCAGTGAACACTGTGGTGTAAATCTCTTTCTGAGTCTCTGCTTTTAATTCTTTCAGGTATAAACCCAGGACTAAAATTGCCGTGTCATAGGTGTCATGGTTGGATGCTGCAAGATGATGCATTCCCCCCAGCAACAAGTAAGTGTTTCTATTTCATCACATCCACTGCAACACTGGTTACTTTTGTTTTGTTTGATTGAAATACTATCTGACTGTAGTTTTGATGTGAGGCTGTCTGATGACTAAAGATGCTGAACATCTTATGGATTTGATTATCATTTGACTGTTCTGTGAAATGTCTATTCAAGTTCTTTGCCCATTTTATGATGGGATTATTGTCTTTCTTGTTTTTAACTTGTCAAAAATCTTATATATCTGTTGGTTATTGGATTCTTATCACAGATGTAGTTTCCGAAGATAATCCCCCAATTGGTAGCTTGTATTTTCACTTTTTTTGGTAAAATCTTTGAGTATTCAATTTTTCCATTATATTATTTAAGAGATTCTTCTCTATACATTGAATGGACTTAGCAGCCTGACCAAAATCAGTGGAACATAGCTGAATGGGTTTTCTCCTCGAATCTAACTTCTATTCCATTGGTCTATGAATCTACTGAAATTCTAGTATCAGACGCTTTTTATTACTGTAGCTTTAGAGTATAGGCATTGTGTAGGCATTTTCAGTCCTCTGACTTGGTTCTTCCTAACATTGTTTTATCTATTCAGGACTTTTTGACATTCCACATAAAGTTTAGCAATGATGTGTCCATATTGAAAGGTGTTGAAATTGTGATTAGGATTGCATTGGATCTATAGATTACTTCAATAGTAAGTCTTTCAATTGTTGGGTAATTTTTATTTCCACATGTAGGAGAATCAGACTGGATTCATGCCTCATATCAGACACAAAACAAATGGAAAAACCGATTAAGAATTTTATTGTGCAATCTAAAATCATAGATTTTCTAGAAGAAAATGCCTGGATGATACTTTCAGGATTAGCTTTCAGCATTGGGCTTTCTAGTATAATAACACAAGTAGTGAGAGAACTCATACAAAAAAACAAAGACTATCTTGGTCAACCAAATTCTCCTTACCTGCTTCTCTTCAGTTTCTGAACTGAGCCTGATTGCTGCTTTCTGATTAACATTCTAATAGTGCCTCCATCATGATGCACAAGGAAATGAATGATATGGTGAAAAATGAGAATATTAAAATCACAGAATTATCTACTTTGTGTTTGACCATCTCCACTAACTAAAACACTAGCTATAGAAAACTAGAATTAAATTTGCATTTTGGACTCAGATTTAATTTGATTACTGTCTAGATGTCAAGCCCTGGGCTAGATGTTTTAGAATGTATTAACAATTTCAGTATTCACAAAAGTTATGATGTAGCTATCAGGATTGCTCCTTTTTGGTGAGACTGTGGAAATTCATAGAAGTTAAATAGTATGTTTATTAAAGATCATACAATTCTTAAGGATATTAGGAATTGAGCCTGCATTCACTGGTTCAAGAGTCTTCGAACTTAGTAAAACATTCATAAACTATGGAGTTTAGGGTGGTCTGGTAGTGTTGTAGGATAAGCACTGAACTGCTAACCACAGGGTGGCAGTTCAAACCCACCAACCATTTAATGGGAGAAAGATGAGGATTTCTTCTCCTGTAATGATTTATAGCTTCGGAAACCCTATACAGGGTCACTATAAGCCAGCATAGCCTTGATGGCAGTGAAGTATATTTGAATCACCTTGCTGTTCTTAATTATGTATGTATATTTTTAAATGACAACCACTCACTTTAGATTCTTGAGAATTTGTATCAATGACTTTCAAAGTTACTGTATTATGCAAGGGTATTTTTTTCTAAGTTACTGGAACCCATATTTTCAGATGACAAATATGATGGAATAGGCTATTAATATTTTCAATTGCTATCTTTCATTGGTTTGCTTTTTTAAATCAATCATATAATTCTCAAAGTGTTTTCTTGACAAACACTTGGTTTCTTTGTAAGCTATACTTTTTTTTTTTTAATGTTTTATTGTGAGTTATGTGATAGTTTACATGGGAGAACATTTAGCTTTACATTCATCCTATCGTATATCATTTCATTGCCGTGGTTACAATCCCCTCCATGCATCATCAAACATCCAAAGGATGTACCCTGCAAGCCTGCCCCCCGGTCATCAGCACACAGCACACAGCCCCTTTCCTTCTCTGGGTCTAAAGTGCCCAGACGCTCCATCTCAGGCATCACTGCTTCTCTTCTCCTAGACTGCAAAGTCAATTACTCCCCTCCTTTGCTACAAAAATGTCTACCTTTACATTCTCAACCCTCACAATCGGTCCTGATAATGATTATTCACTATTGTATCACAAGAGACCTATCCGCATATCTCCTTTCATTAGTCCCACCCAGACACATTAGATACTACTCAGTGGAGATT